GTCAGGTGCGACAGAGGAAGAGCCCGAGTTGCAGCGAATTTATTTTCGCATTATTATTTACAGTATCTATGACGTATTTTACACCCATTTTTTCACTGGTGTGGTTCAATATGTTCTCACATGAATATTTATAAACATAAAACTGTTGTCAATGTATATTGTATCTACATATTAGTGTCACAAGTATTTGCATAAAAATGTCGTATTTCTCAATAAAATATACAATTTCTTATGATTTATTTTCACTATATACATCCACTTATTCTGTATTTACATGTTTTGGCACCAGTCTTGGACATTTAGAAGTCATCAAGACTGTGATACTCGTTGAAACATTGGACATGGCACAGAGGGACCTGACACGCTATGCACCAAGTCATCACCATTTTTCTTTTCTGTTCCCTCTTGGTTGTTGACCAGCATACAATACACGCACGCTGGCCCACTGCACGCTTTCCAGTTGGTGGTAAAAACCTGAGATTGTGTGTCATAAAGGCATCCCTGTAAGCGAGCCTGGGAGTTGGAGCATGGTGCAATACCAGGTTCAGAATGGGCCTCTATATGCCAGGAATTACTTTGCCAAACTTCTGTAGTAATTGTGTTACTACAGTAAAATTTAATGCACATAAATTACATTTACCACCTGTTTTGACAAGATACATATTGTAACTGTTCAGCATTGTTACGTCAACAAGGTGGAAAAACATTTTCTTGGTCCACTTCACTGTTTTCCGTACACACTCTACTGCCCCCACCATCATATCACATTTATCCACCAAATGCATGTTGATGTTATAGTCCAAGACACAATCTGGCTTATAGATTATTTCTCTTGTGGTTCTGTTCACCTTGCCACTGTCCAGCATTGTTCCAGCGTGAATGGTGGTCAACATGTTCACTTCATGCCTGTCTTTCCACCACACTGAAAGTATTCCACCTGTTTTTCTGAGCTCACAATCACCAACCTGCATAGCACCTGGAAACACTGGCATTTCCCTTCGTTTTGCCTTCACTGTGCGCCACACTCCAGTTCTATTATCAAGCAAGAACCTAGTTAGCAAAGGACTGGTATAATAGTTATGTGTATAATATGTGGTCCTTGTTCAGACATGGTGCAAGTAGTGCCTTCACAACACTACCCGAGAAGCCATGTTGGTCATTAGCAGGAATGTCTACATTTGTACCTGTATACATTATCATGTGTATCACCATTCCTGTTTCACAGGAATGGTCTGTAGGGGTCTGTAGGGTCTGTAGGGGCCTCGTAGCCTGGTGGATAGCGCGCAGGACTCGTAATTCTGTGGCGCGGGTTCGATTCCCGCACGAAGCAGAAACAAATGGGCAAAGTTTCTTTCACCCTAAGTGCCCCTGTTACCTAGCAGTAAATAGGTACCTGGGAGTTAGTCAGCTGTCACGGGCTGCTTCCTGGGGTGTGTGTGTGTGTGGTGTGGGGAAAAAAAAAAAAAGTAGTTAGTAAACAGTTGATTGACAGTTGAGAGGCGGGCCGAAAGAGCAAAGCTCAACCCCCGCAAAAACACAACTAGTAAACACAGTCACAGAGTACAAAGAATTTCGATCCAAATTGGTGGTGTTTAGAGGGAATATAATGCTTGAAGGCAAGACGTCCTTTGAAAAGCACAAGGAATTCGTCAATCACCAGCTTCTGAGCTGGCACGTAGAAATCCCTGTTGAGCGGGTTCGGTTGTTGGAACTTGATGTGCTCGCCATGGTGTCTGCCGGGTAACTGAGGCCTGTACACAAAGGGGACCCACGCTGGATTTTTTCCCCAGGCGGGGTTTGTTTATGGTCGGTTGAGGCTCACCGATGACTACCCCTATCCCACGCGGGACGTTTAAATTATAGCGCTAGACACAAAAGCATATATAAATGCTGTGTGCGGTTTCGGTTTTGTCACTGATATCATTTATATATGATGTGCGCGGTTTAAGGGTTAAGGTAATCCCTGAACCTGAATCTATCTCCTCTCCACCGTCGTCTGTAGGTCTCGGTGGAGAGGAGGTAGGCATCGAGCACCGCTTGCTTCAATACCTTGTAGTCTGTTTCAGATGCTATAGTACTGAGAGTCACTGCAGCTCTACCTGTTAAATGAGACCTGAGAAGCACAGACCATTGATCCTGAGGTCAGCTAAGTTGGGTAGCCAGAGCCTCAAATGAAGTAAAAAAGACATCTACTTCTGGCTCAACAAAAGATGGCATTAACTTAATTGCATGCGAAAGGTTAAAATGTACCAGAAGTACATTTTACAAAAGCGTAGATGCATCAGCACTCCACGCACCAGGTGCTGATGCATCTACGCTTTTGTGGTCTGCATGTGGTGTTCCTGCAGACTATGCATGCACGTTTACCCTTCTCCCGTGATGCTGTGCCTGGCATATACTCCAGCATGTGTACCCCGAAGTTCTCATTACCCCGCAGTCTGTCTTGGGCTGCGTGTGGCATTGTTGCTTGCACCCCTCGGGGTACTACGGAGCCCTCCTTGCTATACTTTACCAGCAGCTGTGACACCACACTGGCACTGAAGGTACGTATAGACGGTTTCCTGCCGGACTTCACCAGGTACGTATTGTAGCAGTTGAGCACTGCAACATCCATGAGGTGGAAGAACTACTTTTTCGTCCACTTCACTGACCTGCGTACGCACTCCACACCACCAAGCATCATGTCACACTTATCGACGAGGCGCATGTTCACGTTATAGTCTATGACACAGTCCGGCTTGTATATGGGGTTGTGTGTCTGAAAATGGACCTTGCCAGTGTCCAACATGGCACCGGTGTGAATCGGTCAGCATATTCACTTCGCATCTGTCCTTCCACCGCACTGACAACATCTTGTCACACTTGTGCAGCTGGCACTCACCCACACCTATACCTATACCTATACCGAACACGGGCATTTCCTTCCTGATGAGCTTCACAGTGCCACATACGCCAGTGTTGTGGGCGAGGAGGTATCTGGTCAACAGGGGGCTGGTGTAATAGTTGTTGGTGAACAGTATATGGCCCTTGTTCAGCAACGGCTCCATCAGGGTTTTTACGACACTGCCGGAGAACCCGTGTTCATCTTGAGCTGGTATGTCGACGTCTGTACCGGAATACAAGATCATGTCCAGGACGATACCAGTCTCACAATCGCACAGCACAAAAAACTTGAGGCCAAAACGGTGCCGCTTGGAAGGGATGTACTGTTTGAATGCCAGTCTGCCCTTGAACAATACAAGCGACTCGTCGATAACGACATTCTGTCCAGGTACAAAATAATCCCTGAACTTCCCTCTCAGGTCGCTGAAAACCTTGCGTACCTTCCACAGTCTGTCTTGCCTGTCTTCGTTTGCATTGTTTTCGAAATGCAGGCACCTCAGAATCAACAGAAACCTATCCCGCAACATATAACGGTTGAAGATGGGCGATGGAACAAGGCTGTCTTTGTTCCAATTGTCCTGGACGACAGCTTTCTCGGAGTGTTTCATCATCATACATATAGCGAGAAACACGTACATCTTGTCAATTGTCGTATCCTTCCATCGCGTGAGGCAGGTAATATGCCGCCGTCTATGAGGGTGTGGGCGTATGTGTTTGTCACCTTCACAAGATGGTCCATGAAGACATTGTCGAAATATGCCTGGAAATATTCCATGTCCGCCATATCATCACCGGTATACGGGAATAAAGCTGTAACACCAACATCGGTATCAACAAACGTTGGTATTTGGGGCACAAATGTGGCGCAATCCTCCCACACAAGTACACCAGGGGGTTTGGTGTTGGCACCAACACCACAGCCAACACTACCATGGGCACCAAATCCACTGTTACGTCGTCTGCTGCTGCTCCTGGAGCTGCATGAGAGTATGCTTGACGCTGAGGCAGATTTCCGAACTGTAGGCCTACCATGAACGCCCGATGTTGAGGGCCCACTGTCGTCATGCTGGGAGACACGCCGCCGCCTGCCTGCATGTGTTGCTGAGGCAGCAAAACCCCGCCTGGTACCACCCCCACTGCTAGTACTGGGGTCGTCCACACTACATGTATCAGAGCCAATGTTGCTGAACCCCGAGAAAGATTCGTCACATGTACTGTCACTGAATAATGAACTAGCATCTGGGGACATAAATGATGGTGGTGATGATAGCGGTGTTGACCCAGGGCGGCGAGACAGGCCGGGCGAGGAGCGTGTACCGTACACGCTCGCCACATCATCCACTTCTGTTTCCCCCTCACTCGTATCGGACCTCTGTGTCAGATCTTTCTCTGGATCATAGTCCAGGTCATCATCCATAGCACCGTCGTCGTACCATATATCGCGAATTTCCTCCTCAGAGAGTCTTTTTCCATGACCGTGGGTCGCCGTGGAACGGGAGCTCATTGACGATGCGTCGGACATGGTTGCTGCTTGGGAACTGGGGCTCCCCACGGCCGCTGGGCATACTGGGATTTTTTTTCAAGATGGCGGACAATCTCTGGGGCCCCCGGTTACCCATTCCATACCCACGTCACCTCGCACCACTTTTAAATTGGACAAGAAAAATAAAAACACCGGGAGGCACGTTGCGCACCCGAAGCCTGGGCCTGCAGGCGCGTTGCGCAGTTAAAGGGTTAATACTGTATATGGACCGATGCTTATAGAATGCATTTGACAGAAAAAAAACCCTTCCAAATACTTATCCGATCCGCTAAGAAATCCCCCATTCCCATTTACACCTTCACACTCCAATTTCCAACAAGTGCCAAGAACACCATCAAGAAATAGAATGATGGAGATCAGTCTGCATACATTTTGTCATCATGTGGGCAGTCAAAATGCTGTAGATTAATGTCACAGTAGAAGAATATTTCTCATAAAGTGCTTGTCTTTAGAGATAAAAAAATTTAGTTACACTGAAAGGTTTAAATGTAATTCATTCATTAAAGGCATTTTTCTTTTATATGATAGTTTACCTTACATAAGTTAAACTAAGACTTCTCTTTATTTTTGCAGGCACAAGTGTAGTGCTCCTCAAGGCCTGTGACCTGTAAAGGCAAAGCTGTGCTCTCTCCATGTGCCAAGAGTTTGTATGAGATCATGCCTGCTGGTCCTTAAAAGGTTCATGTCAAGGTTTGAGACAAAGTTTGCTGACCTGAAGCTGCCTGGTTGTGTCCAGGGTTTGTGGTCAACAGTAGCGATGTTCCCATTATGACCAGACAAATTGTGGCAGCAAGTTCTTTGGTAAGTGATAATTTGATTTGTATCTTACAGGGCTAGACTTAACCCCTAAGCTGCTCTGGGCTATTTGGCCTTCAACACCCACAGGCGCATAAAAAAACACATAACATAAACACATAACATTTCTTATAAACCTGTTAACTTGTGTTCCCTGACCACGAGAAAAAACAAATTAATTGTACTTACCAATGACGTAAATGAGCCGACAATATGAGCGATGACATCACACCCAGCACGATTGCTCATGCAATGTGCATCCCGGAGGTGCCGTGCTTGGTCTTCAAGCAGCCAGAGTTGCCACGAATTTATTTTAGAGGCATTATTTACAGTGGGTGTATTTTACCACAATTGTTTTCACTAATTGTGTTGCATATAATGTTACTTGATGTTACATTATAATACAACTTGCATCCATTCAATATACACCTGTACATTAGTGTCACAATTATGTGCACACTAATGTTTTATATTACACCATATATAATATGTATTCAGATTTTTCATTAATACACACACACACACACACACACACACACACACACACACACACACACACACACACACACACACACACACACACACACACACACACACACACACTTGATGCTAGGCAAGGAAGTGAATGAGATGTATGGCAAGTTTTGTGAAATATATGATAAAGGCACAAAAAAATTTATACCAAAACAGAGATGCAGAACTAGGAAACAGGATTGGTTCAATAGAAATTGCGAGAGGGCTAGAGACCGAAAGACACAAAAATGGAATCAATACAGGAAGAGGCCGAACCCCCAAACATACCAGCGATACAAAGATGTGAGAAACAACTACACGGCAGTGAGGAGAGAGGCAGAAAGAAATTTTGAAAAAGGGATTGCGGACAAATGTAAAACAGAACCAGGTCTATTCTATAAATTCATAAACAACAAATTGCAGGTAAAGGATAATATTCAGAGGTTGAAAATGGGAAATAGATTCACGGAAGATGAAAAGGAAATGTGTGAAACACTAAACGAAAAGTTCCAAAGTGTGTTTGTACAAAATGAAATCTTTAGGGAACCAGATACAATAAGAATTCCAGAGAACAACATAGAACACATAGAGGTGTCTAGAGACGAAGTGGAAAAAATGCTCAAGGAGCTCGGTAAGAACAAAGCAGCTGGCCCAGATGGCGTTTCACCATGGGTTCTGAGAGAATGTGCATCTGAGCTCAGCATTCCACTTCACCTGATCTTTCAGGCATCCCTGTGTACAGGAATCGTAGCAGACGGGTGGAAACAGGCTAACATAGTTTCAATCTACAAAAGTGGCAGCAGGGAAGACCCCCTCAATTATAGACCTGTATCATTGACAAGTGTAATAGTGAAAGTATTGGAAAAACTAATCAAAACTAAATGGGTAGAACACCTAGAGAGAAATGATATAATATCAGACAGACAGTATGGTTTTCGATCTGGAAGATCCTGTGTATCGAATTTACTCAGTTTCTATGATCGAGCCACAGAGATATTACAGGAAAGAGATGGTTGGGTTGACTGCATCTATCTGGACCTAAAAAAGGCTTTCGACAGAGTTCCACATAAGAGGTTGTTCTGGAAACTGGAAAATATTGGAGGGGTGACAGGTAAGCTTCTATCATGGATGAAAAATTTTCTGACTGATAGAAAAATGAGGGCAGTAATCAGAGGCAATGTATCAGAATGGAGAAATGTCACAAGTGGAGTACCACAGGGTTCAGTTCTTGCACCAGTGATGTTTATTGTGTACATAAATGACCTACCAGTTGGTATACAGAATTATATGAACATGTTTGCTGATGATGCTAAGATAATAGGAAGGATAAGAAATTTAGATGACTGTCATGCCCTTCAAAAAGACCTGGACAAAATAAGTATATGGAGCACCACTTGGCAAATGGAATTTAATGTTAATAAATGTCATGTTATGGAATGTGGAATAGGAGAACATAGACCCCACACAACCTATATATTATGTGAGAAATCTTTAAAGAATTCTGATAAAGAAAGAGATCTAGGAGTGGTTCTAGATAGAAAACTATCACCTGAGGACCACATAAAGAATATTGTGCAAGGAGCCTATGCTATGCTTTCTAACTTCAGAATTGCATTTAAATACATGGATGGCGATATACTAAAGAAATTGTTCATGACTTTTGTTAGGCCAAAGCTAGAATATGCAGCTGTTGTGTGGTGCCCATATCTTAAGAAGCACATCAACAAACTGGAAAAGGTGCAAAGACATGCTACTAAGTGGCTCCCAGAACTGAAGGGCAAGAGCTACGAGGAGAGGTTAGAAGCATTAAATATGCCAAAACTAGAAGACAGAAGAAAAAGAGGTGATATGATCACTACATACAAAATAGTAACAGGAATTGATAAAATCGACAGGGAAGACTTCCTGAGACCTGGAATTTCAAGAACAAGAGGTCATAGATTTAAACTAGCTAAACACAGATGCCGAAGAAATATAAGAAAATTCACCTTCGCAAATAGTGGTAGACGGTTGGAACAAGTTAAGTGAGAAGGTGGTGGAGGCCAAGACCGTCAGTAGTTTCAAAGCGTTATATGACAAAGAGTGCTGGGAAGACGGGACACCACGAGCGTAGCTCTCATCCTGTAACTACACTTAGGTAATTACACACACACACACACACACTTGTGTTGTGTGTACACAAGTGTTGTGTACACTTTTTTGTACACTTTTACATTGGGGGGTTGTGGACACACTCTGGAGTCAGGAGTCACACTGCAGCAAGCTCCTGGAAATATTGTATTACCTAAGTATTGGGAGCAGGTTGAGGGCTACAGTGGTGTCTCAGGTTACATAAAGGTTCAGGGAAGTGTGAAAGCAAATAAAATACAGTAAACAAGTAAAGGTGAGGGAAAATAGCTGAGTTGGAAAAGTTTGTTTTGGTTCTGGAACAAAAACAAAGATGGCCGCCGCCGCTGCGACCACGTACCTCATTGAAAGGTTCTGAAAATGAACCTCATTGAAGCGAAACGTCTAAATGGGGACAGAAATGAAGGAGAGGAATTCTTTTTTCTACAAAGTGTCAGGGACTGGAAAGCTTGTGAAATGGTACATAAAGACAAAGCAACAAAATCATTAAAAGAAGGGGATGTAAAGAACAAAGGTAAGGGGAACATATTCTTGAAAATAGTATATACCAATATAGATGGAATGAGATCGAAAATATTGGAGTTGAAGGATATAATTCAGCTCAGTCTCAGATATTGTCCCATTAACAGAGACTAAACTTGAAGAAAATATTTTAAATGAGGTCGTGTTCCCAAGGGTATACTCAGTTTGGAGACGTGACAGGAAAACTAGGAAGGGGGGGGAGGAGTGGCTGTGTTAGTGAAAGAACACCTGAAGGTAAGATAATTAATGTTTGAAAACCCTCGAGATATTGACATAATGGCATTGCAGCTCTGTAATCAAGATAATAAGCTGATAATTTTAAATGCCTACAGCCCGCCAGCAAGCAACACAGACAAATGAAGAACTGGATGAAAAACGAGAAGGTCTCATAATGGTCATGAGAGAGATTATGGTAAGAGCTGACAAAGATAAATCCCGATTGTTGGTACTGGGGGACTTTAACTTTAAGGCAATAGACTGGGAGGCCTACGAGGCAAGAACAGAGGACATTTGGACAGGCAGATTTGTAAACCTCATCTTGGAGACATTCATGTATCAACACGTCGAGCAGGCCACAAGAATGAAGGAAGGGGATGTTCCGTCAGTACTGGATCTAGTATTCACCAGGAAAGAAGAGGAGGTATTTGACATCCAGTATCTTCCTCCCTTGGGAAAGAGTGATCTCGTCCTCTTGGACATTAATTAAATACGCTATGCGATATAATCTAGCAGAGAATGGGGACAGTGAAACAGTTGTTAAACTCGATTTCAAGAGAAGACACTATGGGGAACTTAGAAAGTTTTTTCTTGGGAATAATTGGACAGACTTGTTGCTAGGCAAGGAAGTAAATGAGGTAGTAAAGTAAACTAAGTAACAAGAAGTAAAGAAGGCAAGAAGTTAATAGGCAATTTTATAGCTGCTGCTGCTAATATCAACTGGGAGTCCGAATTAGGTAACATAGGGAACATCAACCTAGCAGTGCAATCTTTTCTTCAAAAAACTCTCAGCCCTTATAACACTCACTGTCCTATGTTAATGAAACAAGTCACAACTAAAAGGCTCAACAATCCTTGGCTTCCAACAATCCATTAATAAAAAACATGACCTTGAGAAGAAGTATAGGTTAGGAATCGTCTCCAAAGAATTTTCAAAGAATTACTCATCATTACTATCTAAAATAATTAGGAGAGCCAAAATTAAATACTACGAAGATAAATTTACCCACACAAAGGGCAACATTAAGAAAACATGGTGCACAATTTCACAAATATTGGGATCAAAGAAGATTTTAAATAACACACCAATACTCCTGTCAAATAATGATGGTCTGCTTTCAGCCTCTGACACTACTTTTGAGTTCAATAGGTTCTCCTCTTCCATTGGGTCATCCCTTGCAAATGATATTTCATCTTCCAGTACTAATATTCAGGACTATCTTACAGGTAACTATCCACAGTCTCTGTACCTAATGCCTACTAATGCCACTGATGTTACTGACATAATCCTTTCCCTTAAAACCAAGTCTAGTGCCCTTGAGGAGATACCAACTTATTTACAAAAAAGCCTCCAGATTATTAGCTCCATTGCTCTTCAACAAGTCACTTGAACTCCAAATCTTTCCAGATATTCTAAAAAAAAGCGAGAGTAACCCCTGTCCACAAATGTGGTGATCCCACTGATGTTAAGAACTTCAGACCTATATCAATTCTGCCAAACTTGTCTAAAATATTTGAAAAACTTATCTACAAGCAGCTTTACTCTTATCTAGCCAAACACAATATACTTAGCTCTTGTCAATATGGCTTCAGACCCCAAAAAAGCACTAACGATGCACTTATTTGTATGATTAACTTGCTACATGCAGCTCTTGATAAAAATGAGTTCCCTATTGGGTTATTTGTGGACCTGCGTAAAGCTTTTGACACTGTCAACCACCAAAACCTTCTTCTTAAATTACAACATTATGGAGTCAGAGGTCACTCCCTGTAGTACCTTAAGTCTTACCTTACTGACAGGCTCCAATATGTTTCTGTGAATAATTCAATTTCTCCCACCCTACCCATCAACATTGGTGTTCCCCAGGGCAGCATACTTGGCCCTCTCCTCTTTCTCATCTACATTAATGACCTCCCAAATGCCTCTGAACATCTCAAACCAATTCTATTTGCTGACGACGGGACCTTCATTTACTCCAGTCCTGACCCCCTTGCTCTAAATGTCACAGTGAATACTGAGCTAAATAAAGTCCATCACAGGCTCTCTGCCAACAAACTCGCCCTCAATATTGACAAAACTTTCTATATTTTGTTTGGCAGTAAATCCTCAAATCAAATAAATCTCAGGATTAACAATACCAAAATTTGTAACAAAGTAGATGGCAAATGCCTTGGTTCTCATTGACCCAAAGCTGAATTTCCAGGGACACATTCTAAATATATATAAAAAAAGTTTCAAAAACTATTGGCATTCTTTCTAAGATCAGATATTATGTACCTTGCCCTGCCCTGGTGACACACTATTACTCCCTCATCTATCCATATCTCAATTATGGTATTTGTGCTTGGGGTTCTACTACCCAAAATCATTTATGTCCTCTAATTACCCAACACAAAGCTGCTATTAGGACAATCTCTAACTCTGGCCCCAGACATCACTTGGTACCCCTTACTCAAATCACTGAATATGTTAGATATTAAGTCACTGCACATCCTCTCATGTGTATTCTATATATATAAAATGCTGAACTGTAATGCAAATCCTGACCTTAAAAGCTTCCTAGAAGGTTGTAACAGATCCCATGAGCACCACACCAGAAACAAATACCTATTTGATATTCCAAGAGTATGACTTAGTCAAACTAGAAGTGCTTTACAAATCAAGGGACCTCGAATGTGGAATGACCTTCCCAATTATGTTAAAGACTGTACTTCTCCCAACCAGTTTAAGATAAAAACTAAGTACCACCTAATTAACTCAATGTAACCTACCTCACCCCTAAATGTCAACCCATGTCTACGATTTTTAACAATACTGTTTGTTGACCAAATTGTATTTTTGTTTTTTTCTGCCATGTTTCCCCCCCCCCTTTTTTTCATTTTTTCTGATTTTTTCACAACACAATTTATACTTTAATCTAAGTTTGTACAGTGGCACCTCGACTTACGATTGCCCCTACTTACGATAATTTCGAGTTACGATGTAAATTTCATCGAAAAATGCGACTCGACATCCGATGGTGTCGTCGACTTCCGATATTTGTTGGTACACATTCGGGTCGATCGAGCGCGTGGTTCCCGGTCACGCGGCCTACCTGCCTCAGTTTACTACAGCTGCCCGCTTAGTGACGATCGCGCCTATAAGAAATTCCGCTTTTGTGGTGATTTTTTGCATTTTGAACATTAAAGTAATTATTATATATCATGCCATGAGTCCCAGAAAAGTCAGTGGTAAGGCTCAACATATGAAAACCCATGTAAGGATGACCATAGAGCAGAAACAAGAGTACAGAATGTCTCTTCCTCAACAATTAAGAAAATGTTTGCAGCATGGGAAGAATTGCAAACTTTGCTGAAACGACTCGCCCAAATCAAGCTGCAGTAGGTCGTTGCCTTAACCTATTCAATGACACTGATGCATCATTACAGACAAATGTTAAAACGAAGGGAAAAACAAATGTCTCTTGACAAATTTGTAGTGAGACAAACAAGCACTGAACCACAACCAGGTCCTAGTGGTATTCGGGCAAAACGTTGGTGAGAAAGTACCCCAGAGAAAACATCACTGCCTGATGTTATAATGGAAGGGGACTCCCCTTCCAAACAGTAACACCTCCTCCTCCTCACCATCTTCCATATGCATCATGGGTCCTTCATAAAGGTAAGATAAGCATATGTACTGTATTGTAATTAGAAAAAAGCATTGTATTCAGTATAAAATGTATTTGTATGTTAATATTTTGGAGGGTGGGGAACGGATTAATTCAATTCCCTATATTTCTTATGGGAAAAATCGCTTCGACTTACGATCCGTCTGGGAACGGATTAGCATTGTAAGTTGAGGCCCCATTTTATTAAATTTTAGTCTTAGTGTTTTTCCTGCCTGAAATGCTTTGCGTAATAGTGACTTTAGGCATTGTATGTACTAGCTCTATCTATGAATCCATCAACTTTTGTATTTCACCTTGTATGTATGTACTTTATCTGAATAAATATTTGTATTTTTGTATTTGTAGATGTATGCCAAATTTTGCACAATATATGATGAAGGCACACAAACATTCATACCAAAACAGACATGCAGACCTAGGAAACTGGGTTGGTTCAACAGAAATTGCGAGAGGGCCAGAGATCAAAAGACACAAGCATGGAATCATTATAGAAAGAGGCCAAACCCCCAAACATACCAGCGATACAAAGATGCAAGAAACAACTACATGTCAGTAAGAAAAGAGGCAGAGAGGAACTTTGAGAACGATATAGCAGACAAATGTAAATCAGATCCAGGCCTTTTCTATAAATTCATTAAAAGTAAGCTGCAGGTAAAGGATAATATTCAGAGGTTAAAAATGGGGGACAGATACACGGAAAATGAAAAGGAAATGTGTGAAACATTAAACGAAAAGTTTCAAAGTGTGTTTGTACAAAATGAGATCTACAGAGAACCTGACACAAGAATTCCACAGAACAACATAAAACGTATAGAGGTGTCTAGAGATGAAGTGGAAAATATGCTAAAGGAGCTAAGTAAGAATAAAGCATTTGGCCCAGATGGAGTTTCACCATGGGTTCTGAGAGAATGTGCATCTGAGCTCAGCATTCCACTTCAGCTGATCCTTTAGGCATCCCTGTGTACAGGAGTCGTAGCAGACGTGTGGAAACAGGCTAACATAGTTCCAATCTACAAAAGTGGCAGCAGGGAAGACCCCCCCCTCAATTATAGACCTGTATCATTGACTAGTGTAATAGTGAAAGTATTGGAAAAACTAATCAAAACTAAATGGGTAGAACACCTGGAGAGAAATGATATAATATCAGACAGACAGTATGGTTTTCGATCTGGAAGATCCTGTGTATCGAATCTACTCAGTTTCTATGATCGAGCCACAGAGATTTTACAGGAAAGAGATGGTTCCGTTGACTGCATCTATCTGGACCTAAAAAAGGCTTTCGACAGAGTTCCACATAAGAGGTTGTTCTGGAAACTGGAACATATTGGAGGGGTGACAGGTACGCTTCTAACATGGATGAAAAATTTTCTGACAGATAGAAAAATGAGGGCAGTAATCAGAGGCAATGTATCAGACTGGAGGAATGTCACAAGTGGAGTACCACAGGGTTCAGTTCTTGCACCAGTGATGTTTATTGTCTACATAAATGATCTACCAGTTGGTATACAGAATTATATGAACATGTTTGCTGATGATGCTAAGATAATAGGAGGGATAAGAAACTTAGATGATTGTCATGCCCTTCAACAAGACTTGGACAAAATAAGCATATGGAGCACCACTTGGCAAATGGAATTTAATGTTAATAAATGCCATGTTATGGAGTGTGGAATAGGAGAACATAGACCCCACACAACCTATAAATTATGTGAGAAATCTTTAAAGAATTCTGATAAAGAAAGAGATCTAAGTGTGGTTCTAGATAGAAAATTATCACCTGAGGACCACATAAAGAATGTTGTGCGAGGAGCCTATGCCATGCTTTCTAACTTCAGAATTGCTTTTAAATACATGGATGGCGAAATACTAAAGAAATTGTTCACGACCTTCGTTAGGCCAAAGCTAGAATATGCAGCGGTTGTGTGGTGCCCATATCTTAAAAAGCACAGTTTTTGAATGGAACCTGAAAAATACAAATACCCGGAGGTACGTTGCGCAAACCAAACAGTGAGGAGTGAGACCTGCACTCACTCACCTGAGGAGTGAGACCTGCACCTGCAACGCCTGCAGGTGCGTTGCGCAGTTTACGGGTTAACTTTGAATGACTTTATCATAAATGTGTTGGGAAATATTCATGGCCATGTATTTCTTGTAAACTTCTTATATTTGTACTTGGAACTCTATAGTGCAATAAACATTGAACGTTTCCAGGTTTTTGCTGTGTTGCCATACCGTCCAGTTCCCAGCCTTAGTCTTGGAGCCCAGTATGCCATGGCGCAGAGGAGTCGTCGCCAGATATATGAAACTGCCTTTGACAGCAAGGTAAGTTGTAGTTAGTACTGTTTGTTGAGTACAGATGTTGTGTTTTGAACTGTACAAATGTCATTGCTGATGATGCAAAGAATTTTGTTCTAATATAGCTTTCATATTTGGATACAATACCTTATTGGTATTACAAAGTATTAACTTTGTAAAGCTAACAAAGTCACAGGTCAATAGGTTGCGGGGCTCTCTTTCCGCTGGACACTGGGCAGAGGCAAGGCTTCTTTTAATGATGTCATTGACTTCGTCGTGTCTAGTGTGCCAACCACCAGATTTTCCACAGTGCAGACCATGCAATCCATATTCGTCGGCATCTGCCTCGCCTCAAATACACCTATGAACAGTGTGGATAGGGGCAGCAAGGCGGAGAGCGACTGCAATACGGAGCTCCTGCAGATCAAGACGTGTGCCTGTCGCAGACATAGGGACTGCCAAAAGAAAGTCTCCTGCATGGGGAGCCTGCACAGCTGTGAGGCGTGCACAATCACTGGGGGTTGTTGCTGTCTCCAGCAAAGCTGTGGCTTCTTTGTCTACAATGGGGCTGTCCCAGCTGGATTGTTTCTTGGCTTTCGGTATGGTTGGTCTGAATGCTGGGTCTGTCATGGCACCCCATTTCATGTCACATTCCTTGTAGTGAGGGTCCTGTATCCCCGCTACATCACTCAGCGTGTCAGGTAGAATTTCCTTAACCAGGTCATCTGATGTTGAGGAGGATGACAGGAAGGCTGGGACAGCAATTTGGGTAGCGGTGCGGACACCCAAGCCACCGAGCCTGACAGGAAGAGTGGCTTGTTTCCACTGGCATTCGTTGAGGGAGAGGTTAACAACTTTTTCTAGCATGGTGTGACAGGTTGTGATATCACAGCTATACTGAACCAAGATGGTATGGCTTTCCTGCACATAATGAAAAAAAAAAATGCTGCTATTGGCCCTGCAGTGTGTAAGTCACAGGTGGAAACAAATAAAAATCATCAAATAAATAATTTAAAAATTTACTGAAATATTAATGAACATAAATACCCCTGAAAATACTTGGCTATCATGTATTGCAAAACTGAACAAGTTAGTATGATCTTAAATGTAAAAATAAGCTACAGTATAAGCAATGAAGAAAAGCATAAAAATATACTGGTGTACTGAAGACAGCTACCATACCACCATGGCATCAATCACATGACGTTGGCTGAAGGCGGACGACGGGTGAGACACGAAGGTGATCCTAGAGCACTAAGGGAGAGACTGGCTCTCCAGGGAGGCAGCGCCCTTTATATAGTCTTGCAGTGATTACTCGTCCAGTGTCAACGCGAGGTGGACATCTGGTCAACTAGCAAACTGCTCGTTGTGGCTGGCGGTGCCTTTGTGTTGAGCTGCACCACTGTCAGTTGAAGGTGGCTAACTGCTTGTTTGTGGGGGCAAACTACCGGTTAGCAGAGGCACCCAGCTTGCCTCTGAGTCGTACCAGGCCGTGCCAGGCCCTAGGGGGTATGGAGAGGTGGCAGGACTGATGACTTATCTGGGCTGGTGTAGATGTATACTTCCAGTGCAGAGGCATTGAAGGTGAAGGGAAAAGGCAGTTCCACTGCTATGCAGGGGATTCACGTGACAATGGTCTTCAGTAAGAGGTCATACTCTTCAAGCATTCGGCTGTCGTAAGATGGGGGTGCACCTCAGAAAGTAGGTTAGCCTCGGAAGGGATAGGCATTTAGTGAGGAGATATAAAGCAGTGTGGGCATCGATGTCACCTATTCTGTCTTCCATCCTCCTGAGGTCTGTGATTTTCTTATCAAGGATCTCCTCACTGGCGTTAGATCCAAGGGGGGGGGGGGCTCCAAGAAGGGTGCTGTGCTCGGCCCTAATGACATGGGCTCAAGGCAAGGCAGACCTAATTCTAGCTACAATGTCTGGGATGGAGGAGACTACTTCACACTTGGAAGGGTTCAGGAAGAGACCCAGGCTTACTTCTTGCTCCCTTATTTTCCAGATATCTTCCAAGAGGTGGTCTATGATGCCAGCTATTGTGCCATCATCCAAAAACCAGATGTTGAACTCGCTGGACAAGCTTTCAGTGATTTCCTTTAAGACTAAGCAGAAAAGAAGGGGAGCAAGAGGATCACCTTGCTGAGCACCTTCACGTGATTTGATTTTGTGTTCACTAAAGAACAGTTTTGACTCGCCACTGTAGCAGACAGTATTTTTATGTATTTTGTCAGCAGAATGTCAACAAACATGGCCGCCATCACTGGAGAGGACAGTACCCCCATCAAAGGAATATTTTGCAGGTTTCTCTCAACAAGATGCAATGAAAGGTGGTTTTCTTGGCAGGTTAATGATTATTGAATACATGCTAAAGAATTATGAAAAAAAAGGTAATTAAATTGGAACAAGAAAATGAAGGTCTCAAGATTGAGTTTTGTAATTTAAAAGGAAGTATTTTCCAGCAAGGTAAGAAAATTAACAGCTTGACTGATAAGGTAAGGATGCAGGAGACACACATCAAGGAACTGGTAAAGGATAATGAGGCATGGAAAGTGAAGAGTAGGGAATTTGAAGAAATAAACAAGAAAATAAACTCGTATGGTGAACAACTCGAAGGGAGCCTGAGGGCTAACATGGAGTTAGGCAAGGAGATGCAACGAGAAACATCATTGGCAACTCAAATAGAGGAGGCTAATAAAGAACTAGAAAAGTATAAAGAAGAAATAAAAGATATATGTGCAAGTTTGTTACACACCCACAAGAAGCAGTCCATAGCAGCTGTCTAACTCCCAGGTACCTATTTACTGCTAGGTGAATTGGGACTGGTCATCATCAGGGTGAAAGAAACTTTTCCCATTTGTTTCCGCCTCCATCGGGTGATCGAACCCGGAACCCCAGGACTATGAATGCGAAGCGCTGTCCTCTTGGCTGTCAGGCTCCTTTGTATACCATTGTTGTATACATAATTTTTTTTCCAGTAATGCCATATATTTGTAGTTTCTAGGCAAGTCTTTTATGATCTGTATAAGAAATCTTAGAGAAGTCCATGTACACCACATTGACTGGAAATCCTTGATCTTTGCAATTAATGTAAGCAGATTTGCTAGGCAGGATTTGTTTTTAACAATACCATGTCGTGATATTTTACAAGATGGTCCAATTTGAGACTGCAGACGATTTCGTACTTCATGAAAGTCTCGAAGCTTTCAATAGTGCAAAGTTTGGCAGATTGGTTTGTAGTTTTCTGCTACACTTCTGCTTTTTTTTTTTTTTTAAGAGGAGTAATGTTTGCACATTGACAGTTTGATGCACTTTTTGTAATTTCTTATAACAGGAATGCTGTCAAACGCTGCAGTAGTAATGTTCACTGTACATAGTTGCTTAACACTGAAGATTGTTATAAAATGCACTACCGTACTGTATTGTGCTAAAAATTATGGAAAGTTATTTATATTAAATTACAATACAACCTGGATTCTGCATACCCCCGATTCGGCAAATCTCTGGCTGGGTTGCACATTTTTCAGGCTGGATTTACTCACCCGTTTCGACGAACTCTGATTTGCCGAAGCTGGGGATGTGCAGATTTGCACATCCCCAGAATTTTCTCAAAGAGGGCTGCCTCTCACTGGAGGTCCCAAGAGTCCATATTGTATCCAACGTATCATATCGTACCCAACATATCGGCGAATGGCATTTGTCATTTGGCGCAGTGTATTGGTTAAGCAGCTGAAACCAACACAAAAGCTGGTGCCAACATCAAGAACTTTGTGTGTGGAGTATACAGTTAGAACAAGCGTTAAATTTAAGTACACAGTGTTAGTGTTAAAATTATAGTTGCAGTAATATTAGTGTACAATAGTTTTCATAAACTGTTGTAATACTCAACTTACAGCAGAACCACATAATCAATATAGTGTTAACTGCATAATACAGTACTGTATGTATTTACTGTACTGTATTCATAACTCCATGAAAATTCAAGATGGACATACTCTAACAATTAGGTAAATAAAACAATAACACGATATTTTCTGGGGGGGGGGGGGGAACTCTTACGGCTCCTTGGAATTATCCAGGCTATTATTGCTATATTAGACTTTGGCATGTCATGTGAATGGAGTTCTTAGGCCTACCAGGGACCATGAGCCAAAACCTGGCCCCCCCTCAGAGAAGCATGAGGAGCAATGGCTTATAGAAACGTAATAGAAGTAATTATAGAAGTAATTACCTAAGTGTAGTTACAGGATGAGAGCTACACTCGTGGTGTCCTGTCTTCCCAGCATTCTTTGTCATATAACGCTTTGAAACTACTGATGGATTTGGCCTCCACCACCTTCTCACCTAACTTATTCTAACCGTCTACCACTCTGTTTACAAAAGTGAATTTTCTTATATTTCTCTGGCAGCTATGTTTCGTTAGTTTAAATCTATGACCTCTTGTATTTGAAGTTCCAGGTCTCAGGAATTCTTCCCAATCAATTTTATCGATTCCTGTTACTATTTTGTACGTAATGATCATATCACCTCTTTTTCTTCTATCTTCTAGTTTTTGCATATTTAATGCCTCTAACCTCTCCTCGTAGCTCTAGTCCTTCAGTTCTGGGAGCCACTTGGTAGCATGTTTTTGCACCTTTTCCAGTTTGTTGATGTGCTTTTTAAGGTATGGGCACCACACAACCACTGCATATTCCAGCTTGGGTATAACAAAAGTTGTGAACAATTTCTTTAGTACTTCTCCATCCATGTATTTAAAAGCAATTCTGAAGTTAGAAAGTGTAGCTTAGGTTCCCCGCACAATGTTCTTAACCCTTAAACTGCGCAACGCGCCTGCAGGCTCGCGTCTGGTTTGCGCAACGCGCCTCCAGGTACAGGTATTTTGATTTTTCACGTTTCATTCAAAACTGGCGCGCGGTGACGCGGGTATGGTATGGGTGGGTGGGGGCCCCAGTGATCGTCCGCCATCTTAAAAAAAAATCCCAGCATGCCCTGCGGCCGTGGGGAGCCTCAGTTTCACGGCAGCA